GATCTTTTTAAAGAATATCAGCAAGAACCTCATTTTATTTCCATTCTTCTTCTTGGTCCTTTCTATTTCAAGACTCAGTATTTACAGAGATATGAGCAAAATCATATATCTCTTTATATGACTGAGTAAGAGGAAACCAAAAAAACCATTATGGAGTTATTAATGGGTTCGGTTCAAAATCAGACCGAGTCAGGTGGTTCATCTTCAACCGAGTCATCTTCACTCAGTGGTGGACTCAGGTTTGGTCAAAAGATCTACTTCGAAGATGGATCCGGATCCGGTTCCGGGTCAAGCAAGAACCGTGCGGGTCGTAAGTGTTCTACTTCGAGGTGCCAAGTGGAAGGTTGTAGAATGGATCTAAGCAATGCAAAAGCTTATTACTCGAGACACAAAGTTTGTTGCATTCACTCTAAATCATCTAAAGTCATTGTCTCTGGTCTTCATCAAAGGTTTTGTCAACAATGTAGCAGGTATTTGTCTTCTTCTCTTATTTACTCTTTTTGCCACTCACGGTGGTGGTCGGAGAGAGAGTTTCCAAAGAGAAAAACCAAAGCTTTGAGAGCCCTTTTTGCTTTTGTGTGTTGATGATGCTTTGGCTCTTAATGTGTTTGAAGAGTCTTATAAAACTTTACAGCTAGTTTTTATGTGTTCTTGTCTCTTGTATAAGGATTTTAATTATGTTGCTTTTAGTTGAAGCTTTCTTCTTCTTTATTTTATCATTCAGGTTTCACCAGCTTTCTGAGTTTGACTTGGAGAAAAGAAGTTGTCGTAGACGACTCGCTTGCCATAACGAACGACGAAGAAAGCCACAAGCCACAACGAGTCTTTTGGCTTCTCGTTACGCTAGAATTGCTCCATCTCTTTACGGTTTAGATCCCATTTTCCATAGCTCTTTACTCTTCTGAAACTATGCTCAATGTGCCTTAAGAAACAAGTTCTTGATTTTCTTTTGGTGCTAGGAAACGCGAATTCTGCAATGATTCGAAGCGTTTTGGGAGATCCTACGGCCTGGTCAACCGCAAGATGGTCTGGACCGGAAAGGGAAAGCAATCAAGTCATGAATGTTTTCTCATCAAATGGAAGTTCAAGCTTTACTACAACATGTCCAGAGATGATGAACAATCATAGCACAGACTCGAGCTGTGCTCTCTCTCTTCTGTCAAACACAAACCCAAATCAGCAACAGCAGCTGCAGCAACAACAATTTCAGACACCAACCAATGTATGGCGACCAACTTCAGGTTTCGACTCAATGGTCGCCCATAGGGTTACAATGGCTCAGCCACCGCCTGTTTCAATCCATAATCATTCCCTGAACCAAACCTGGGAGTTCATGGCTGGTGAAAAGAGCAATTTGCAGTATATGCCACCTGTTTTGGCACCGAGTCAAATCTCTGAGCCAGCTGATTTCCAGATTAGTAATGGCTCGACTATGAGTGGATTCGAGCTGTCTCATCATCAGCAGGTTCTAAGGCAATACATGGAACCTGATAACACAAGAGCTTATAACTCTTCACCTCAACATTTTAATTGGTCTCTTTGATGAGTCTTTTTTTCTCACCCTCTAAAGAC